ATTTTGTGTTTCATTTTATATTTTTTTCATATTTTACAATTTGACCCCAATTTAAAGGTTTTAAATTATTTTTTTGCCCCGCCGTATCCATACCGTATCTTGACCGTATCCTTACCGTATCCTCGCGTATCCGAGCCGTATCCGAAATTCAAAAATTAAAAAAAAAATTGGATACTCCATTTCCCGTATCTGATACGTATCCGATACGCGTACGGGGGCTATTTCGGAGTATCCGTGCTTCATAGGTTCCTGCCTATTTTTGGCTCTTGTACATGAGGGTGGGTGAGTGGTGGTGACGGGTGGTGGGTGGTGGTGTCGGAAGACGGTGGTGGAAAATGGTGGTGGTGGTGGCTAATGTTGGGTGAAAAAAAAAAAAACTAAAAACTCAAAACGGAAGCACATTTTTTGAGTTTATATTTTTTGTCCAAATTTATAAACTGAGACCACTGATTTATAAATAAAAAATTTAACAAACTAGTTTTTATTTGAGTTTTTAAAATTTTTGTAAATATAAATAAAAAACTGAAAATGTAAGTATTACCAAACGACACCTTAATGTTTGTTGTTCATTTTATTTACATTTTACACACACAATCAATGGAAATAAAACTAAGGACTCTAAAAAAAAAATCCTCATAAATTAATTTTTTTTAACCTCAGCTCAAAGAAATTTAAATCACATATTAATTTTCCCTATATTTTTCTATTGATTTTTCTGTTGTTGTTTAGTTTAGAAAATGGTCAAATCATTTTCGATCCCACATGTTGGAGGCCCAAGTAATGATTTTAATGAAAACTAATTTCACATTCAACCACTCTTTGTCAATATCTTCCCACTTGGCCAACATTATCTCCTTTTCCTATTTACCCACTCAAATTTTGTAGTACTATAGTTTCACTTGGCATATATATAATTACATAAATATGATTTATGTTTTAATTATATACATAGAATTTTGTTAATAAGGACAAAGAGGCCAACCATCCAATGAGGGGCATCACATCTCACAACAAAACAAGGGTTTGTTTGGTTTCGTTGTTCTCAGCCAATGCATAGCCACGTTCATCTCTTCTTCTTGGAAATCATTGTTTGGTTGTTTGGAAAAATTTCTTCAAAGCTAAGTGAAACACATTTTTAAAATTTTTTTTTTGGAGATTGGTATCGTCGCCTCTTCCACTAAAGCCTCACAATATTAAGTAGAGAATTCAAGTAGAAAAACGTCATGTATTGAATTCTCACAATAGTTTCACTCATGAGAAGTGGTGGAGAGGGTAATTATTCATATTTTTAGAGATTGTTTGATTGGGTAAATTATAGCATAAGGCTCAAATTATTAATTTATGAAATTTAAATTTCATTATTTGGTTGTATTTTTTATTATCTGCATTAGATTTTGATAGACATTTTATCCAATAAAATTGACAAATTTTAAATTCTAAAACTAATAATGCAAAACAAATATATAACTGTGATTATTATTTCTATATCCATTGCAAAATAAACATGGATAAAAAAAAAATTATTTATCTCACTAATCTAGCTAAATAATCAATATTATACTAATCCCTTCGATTGTTAGTGTATTAATCGTCCTAATCAAACATGATTTTGAAGTATTATGTGACATTATTTATGTGGTATTTTAAACTAATTAATCACCAAGCAAAAAATTTTGCAATTGAAATATGATGACTTATCTTTGTTAGGTAGTTAAGAGACAAAAATAAACTCACTTAATATGTGTTGTGGTCTCTCATTGGTCAGGAATATCAAATAAATAATGTTACATAGTACCTTGAGAGTATTTAATAATTTTTTTGGTAGGAATTATTTGATCTTTAAAACTAGTTTAAATCTCATATTTGAGGAGGATCGGCTAATTGGTTAAACAGTTGGTAGCTGTAGGAAATTGTTTGATCAAAAGAGTGATTATGCATATGTGGGAAATAAAATCACCTACAAAATCAACAACAGTGTATGTATGGTGCCCTAGGCCTAGTCAATTCCATGAACAACATTCACATATATGTAGTTAACTAGCTTGAATTTGTTTTCAAGAACAATAACAAAGAAGGTAGTATGCAAAAGAACAATAAATATGATGGCATTTTAGGAATGTAGCTAGTTTCAAATTATAATGAATACATAAGACAATTGATGAGGAAAAACATAACCAGAGTGACCACTCGGGATATGGGCTAAGAGCCCCCTAACAAGTGCAAAATCATTAGTACGCCATGAGTTTCTAAGTGTGAATACAAATTAGGAAGCTGAGACACCAAATAAGGAAAAGTTACTCCTGCGTAACTAAATTAAGGTTATGAGCTTACTGGTAAACTAAAGCCTCCGTTTAAAAAGTGGGTTGACTTTTTGACTTTTTAGTTTTTTTGGCTATTTTAGCTTGGGCTAAAAAGCTTAGTTTGGGAAGAGCTTTTTGTTTTTTTGACTTTTTTGACTTTTTTTGTGAGAGAAGAGTGTAATGATTATGGGTTGGATGTGATGTTTTGTTTTTTGCGACTAAAATAGCCTATTTTGTCTTTTGTGGCTAAAATAGCCAAAAAAACCCCAGAAAAGCCCTTCCCAAACGGACCCAAAGTGTGATACACGCCATTTAAAAGGGAGAAGAGTAAGATTGGGGGACGCAACCCTAATTCATTTATTTATTTTGAATATACAGAACTGTGAATTTATTTTTTTATTTTTTTTTTATTTTGGTATGAGAAGAGCATTGGCTGACATCAAACAGGTACCCAATTTTCCCCTCATTTTCTATTTTTTAAGTTGGTGGTCTCTACTTGTCCACCCTACAAAAAATTATCCTTCTGACCCAAAACAAAAAAACAAAAAGAATAAAACAAAACAAGATATACTTGTATATATGTATTTGTATCAATCTACATATTATATTATCCTTCTCACCCAAAATAAAAAAACAAAACAAAACAAAACAAGATATACTTGTAGATATATATTTGTATCAATCTACATATTCGACTTGGATTTAAGGGGAAAGTAAAAAAAGGATTTGGCCAACATCACACTGGTGTCAAATTCTTTCCCTCATTTCTTATTTTCCAAGTTGTTGGTTTCCATTCGTCTTCCATATAAAATTTATCCTTTTTAACTAGTTTAATTACCCTAAAAAATAACATATGTTTGTAGATATATATGTATCTATGTATATTCGACATGTATTTCTCTTCAAGGGGGAAGCAAGAATATGACTGTCTGCACGTGTGGTCCACAAAAGAAGTTTCCTTGATGGGCGATATATGGACCCGTCCTATTGCCCTGGTTTTGAAGGAATAAACACTTGAGAATCTTGACTCTACATTTTTTTCTTCATTCTTATCCTCAGGAAGGCCAAAATGGTGAAAGTGTAGTGTGTAGATACAAACATCACCACCCAAATTGAGTACAGATGATGAGAATTAAGCGTGTGCTTCTCCATCAATAGATTTCCCCACACTAAAGCTTGTATTAGATTGTCCAAGCAAGCACGCTTCTATACAAAAAAATCTACAGTAATAAGACAAAGTGTTAGTGAAAGGTGACAAAATTGCAATAAATTCTGAAAGGGAAGGGGCACATATGGGTGGTTTTTTGATCATTGCCTTAAGTATTAATTAATAAAAAAGTTAGTATATGGTTTCTTATTAGATTTTTTTGTTATTAGAAAAATCATATATATATTTATTAATGGGGTCATATTACGTGACTTATTTAGCTCATTTGAAATCCACAAAGAAAAATTTAAAACATTCTTATCAATAAGATTAAGGCCAAGTTTGGGAAGTGTAAAAAAAGTCAAAAAGTCAAAAAGTTACTCAAAAAGTTAAAAAGTTATAACTATTCACCAAAAGTAAAAAATTACGACTGCACAACTCTCAATCCTAATTTTCCTCTCCACACTAATTTATACAATTTTTTAATACACATTTTTTCGTAAAAAGTCAAAAAGTTAGCCCAAATAACCATATTTTCTTCCTCAACTTTTTAGTCCAAAAAGACAAAAAGTGCACTTATTTAGGACACTCCAAACAACCCCTAAATATCATTCTCACTTTTAACTTGACATCTAAAAAAATCTTTAGCCATTTAAGAAACTTAGGTAAGGAATATGTTTTGCTGTTTGTGATAGATAGTAACATTCTTAATTAATTCATGAATCTTACTAACAAGTGCACTTAAAAAAAATATTTAACAAAAAAAAAAAAAGAATTTTCACCAAACTCTTTTGATCTTTTTATTTATTTATTTTGGGCCACACAATAAGACGTTAGGATGTTAATACCTTTTTATTCACTCCCAAACATAATTTTCAACTCAATTCAATTACTAACAATGAACTAGAGTCGTAACTAGAAATCTAGGTGCACAAAAAGAATCGAACATAAAATGTACAGATGTGAGATAAAATGTTCGCAACTGTAAATGAGAACGTATTTTCACTATAATAAATTTTGTTTTACATCCGTACATTCTGTATCACATTTTCTCAATGCATTTTTCACAATTGAAGTCCTAGCATTTGCCCCTTAATTTAGTATGGGCTGTGTATAGGGATTCCATTATCTTTGGCAATTAATGCTTACACAAATACACATGCAGCTCTCTTAAACTAATCACATAGTAATCTAATCATACATTAAAAATGGCACGGATCAAGGTCAACTGTCTTAATTACTGAATGGAAAAAATAAATGATGTAGACACTTTGTAGAATCAAGAAATAAATTAAATTAAAAAAATGTGGCTCTCAATGTTTTGCACCATTCAAAGAATCAAGAAATAAATTTAAAAATTATCCAATTTTCTAGAAAAATTTCTCTTCATTCTATTTGTATACTCTTCAATAATTCAATAATTCACTGACTAGGATTATTAATCTTTCTGCAATTCATTCTGATTTCACCATTTTCGTCACTTAAAACACCCACACTACTCAACTTAATCATGGCTTTAGCAAATTTTCCCTAAAAACCTTAGGTCAGTTCACTTAATCCAAGACAATCTTTTCAGTAATCCCAGTGAAAGCTAGCTGTTGATCCAATTGAAGTAGTGCTTCTCCTCCAAGGACTCCATGGTAGAAAGATGTGTCAAGCTTGAAGGGTGTGTTTGTTGTTTGGCTCATGAACACTTTAGGGTCTGTGCTTATGTTGAAGGTTTGGTTAGCCGGTTTTGGGCAGATTTTTATCAAAGAATCAACATGATTTGAGTCCATGTTTGGGTCAGGTAGGCCCGAACCTCTGAAGTTGTAGAGCCGGTCCACGAAGAAACCACAGTGGCAAAATCCAATTGCATGCGCACCTAGATGGAAATAAACAATCAAATTAGCCTTTTAAGAATGTGTCTAGATTGGCTTTTTAGTGAATTCTTTTTTACTTTTTTATTTATTTCACTATTTATTGATTTTTAATTTAAAAAAATATTCAAAAAGTTTTACGTTTGTAAATTCTATTTGACTAGACAAAAGATAATTTTTATTTTAAAAAAAGGGAAAAAAGCTCGGGTAAATTATACTCGTAGTTTTTGTAATTTGTTACTTATGTTAATTTGGTCAATATAATTCCATTTGTATCAATTTTACTCTTTAATTTTTTTTTATTTAATATTATTTTAGTCTAATTAATTATATCTATTAAAAAAATAATAAAATAGTTCATTCAAAATGAAATGTACTATTTCAAATTCAATGACCTCTAAAACCTTTTGAGGTGAGAAAATAAAGTATAAAAATGATGCCAAACACCGAACTGACAATTACAAGAATGTTGAATTATGAGAGACTTACTGACCTAGTAAAGTAGTGAGGTCATCTAAATCAAGACTAATGTTTTGGAAAGCTTTCAAAGCATCTGAAATAGAGAAAGAAGGCACTGGAATATGAACTTCACTGATGTTGGAAACAGTCCCATCTCTTCTCCCAGTTTGCACAGCATAACCTCTTGCAAATGCAACACCCTCTTGGGTTGCCAATGCTAGTGTGTCTACACACGAAACAATCCCTTTGCATCTCTTCTCCAAGTCTGCTTTGATCTCATCGATCACTTCGAACCCTCTCAAGGTTAAGTTTGGGGGCGCCTCTTTCTTTGCTACATTGTCTCCTATGCTGTCTATAAGCACTAATCCATCACATTCCTATAATGAGATGATCTTTTTTTAAAATTAGTCTGTTCTGTTGTGTTTTTGTTTTTGTTTTTTTATGTTTTTAGAAATGGAAATAATGAAAAGTTCAAAAGCATCTATGTGCATACCGAATACCACACTAGATGATTGTGGATCGGAGCTCCGCACCCGATTGGACTATCCAAGAGCTAAGGCCTTGCAACAATGAGCACCGTTAGAGCTGCGCGGCTGGAGTTGGTTGGATAACCCCTCCAGTGTGGGAGTAAGCGATCGGAGAAGATAGAATGTACTCTCTAGGTGTAGAGAATTATGTTTAAGTGAGTATAGTTCAGTTCCACTTAGTTACCTTCAATGTGAAGTAAGTGTAGTTTATATAGAACACCTTACTTGTTGCCCAAGATGGTTTCATAAAGGTTTGGTGATGCTCCCTTTAACATTGCTCAAGGTAAGGGACCATCAGGTAGTTGATAATGGATGCAAATACTCATTGTAACCATGCTGATAACAAATCACATTCCCTTGATCAACTATTTCAGTGATTCTTTGGGGAGGGGACCGGCTGAGGTGGCAGCCTGCACATGCATGCATTTATAACTTCTACGTTTCTCTAAGAAGTTCCCTCAGCTCGGTACCGTTGTGCCTTAGCTTGGCCTTTTGTGAAACTGTTTATAGAGATGGGTTGGTCCATTCGGATATCTTTGTATGGGCTAGGCCCATTTTGGTCCTGATGATAGGTTCGGCCCATCAGTTCGGTCCATAGATTAAGTTTTGCAGCTCGGCCCAGTCCAGTGTCGCGGCTGGACCGTCTTTTCCACTATGAGTTGGGCCCAAGTGCTTAAGGACTTGGGTAGCCTGTATGTTATGGAGATGGGCCTAGTTGGCTAGCTTACGCATTTACTTGACCCACTTGGACTTGGGTTTAATGGATTGGGCTAGCCCAAGGCTAGGATCCAACCTGTTGATATTCTGCCCCTTCAACCCATTGTTGTTTAGTATAAGAATTGAAAGACTTATCGACAGTCATTGCCTAGACATACAAGCTGGCCCAGGGAATTTAATCAAAAAACAAAGAGAATCTAGTCATTGCCTTCCCTGTTGCTGCTATCGTTGAAGGGGGGTTCAGTTTCCCTAGACCCCGTTAGTCCGTCGTTTCCTAAACCAGGTCCAACTCACCCTGATGCAAGTTCCTGTGAACCTCTTCCGAGTCGTTTGTGGTGTCTCTATTCTGAACAAGCGATTAGGCTTGAATCTTGACATCTGGGATATCTTGGGATGCTACACCCTTTCTCACAACAAGGACCATAGTACCTATTACCATCATGTGCGTTCTACCGACTGTCACCAGTTTGCCTGACTCTGATAAGCACAATGATGATTTTCTACAAGTTGGTGGGAACTGGGAGTTTCCTGTTGGGACTGAGTTCCAGTCTGAGAGGATGTCCCAAAAGGATGGCTACCCAGGTCTGAATCCTGTGCCCTAGCGTTTCTATACTTCTGTTTATTATTTGACTTGTGTTTCATTTGAGTGCTATACTAATGTTGTTCCCCATCTCTGTAGAGTCTTCTTGTTACCAATGCAGACCAAACCACGAGAATGCTGAAGCAATCAAGGCCGCTTTGAGATACAAAAAAAGATCTGCCCCTGAATTACTAGACTACCAGGCAACTTACCAAACCACAATCCCGAAAAAAAAAAAGCGAAGCTTGCTGCTTCCCTTCTTGATACTAAGACTGACACATCCCTGTTCCTTTAGTTGTGAACCACCGCCACGGCCGGAGTTTATCTGTTGAGAGGACTCCTTCTCCTGCCCCCAGCTTCACAAGGGGAGGATCAATGTCCAAGAGACGGGTGTTGGTGGATTTAGAGACGAAAGCCTTTGGTTCTTTTTCTATCATGGAGACTCTTTTGGTTAAGGCTGAATCAAGAGGTCTAATGGATGTGAAATTGGAGGTGGGGGCTTGTGGTCCCTCTGCTGCTGCTGCTGCTAAACCTGCTGCTTCGATTGCCGAGAGGGCAAAGAGGAGGAGGAGAGAGACTGACAAAGCCATAGTTGGCGAGGTTTTTGAAGAGCTCGTTGTGGATGAGTCCTTTGAAAAATGGGAACCACCTATGCTTCATCAGGGCTAGTCCATTTCCACCTCCGATTCGGTTGTTTCTTTTAGAGAATTTGCTTTTGATTTGACTAAGACCCTGATGATGCCAGTAGACATGACAGATTACAACAGACCTCGCGATATCCCAATCTTGAAAGGAACTCTTCAAATGATGACCGTTGTGAGTGCTCTTTTATTTCTTTTTATGTTCTTTTCTAGTTTGTATCGTTTTCTTCCCTTTCAGACCTGTTTATTTGCTGTAGTGTATCCAAAGGATGCACCTATCCATCACCCCAGCCGAGGAATTAGAGAGGGCTATACTGGAGGTTGCTATGAGTGTTGAGAGATTGACAGCAAATTTGGAAGCCAAGAAGGAGGGACGCAGGACTGTTGAGAGAGAGGTGTTTCATCTGAATAAGGTTGTCGCTTCTGCTGAAAAGTCCAAGGAGGCTACTATTAGGGTCCAGGCCCAACTCGAAGGGAAGGTGGCAGAGCTAGAGGCGGTTATTGTAGTGATGGCTACTGAACGCTCAACTTTGGAGGCTAAGCACTAGCAACAAGGTTGGGATGAAACTGGAGTTGCTTATAAGGAGGAAGTGTTGGCACTGCATGATAAGCTTTTTCTGAAAGGCTGGACGAGTGCCTTGGCCGCTACTCACATTCCTGAACAGTCCTCTCTATTTCAAAATGTTCCTGTTCCTTGAAGACTACTGCCACCCCTAGTACTCCTTCAGCAAAGATTTCCCTAGGAATTGACTCTGCGAACAAGACTCTGGAGAGCGGTACTGCCAATGAAACAATGAGTGTTGAAGGGAATGGGAACTTGGAGATTGAGGCTATGGGAGATGTGGTTAGGGAAGCTTCTGCTTCTCAGGAAGTTGGAGCTGCCTCTACTTTTCCTTCCCAAGATGACATGAACAAAGCTGTGAATGCTACCCCTGAAGTTCCTCCTGCTGATGAGAGTCAGAGTGGTTTTTGTTTAAAAAGACTTGGAGTATGTTTTTTACACCTTTTTTGTTTTTTGCTTTCTAATACACTGGAGCTCGGTCTTCCTGACGACGAGTTGCCCCCTTTGATCCCTGTTAAGATAATTTTTCTTTTTGTTGCTACTTTTGTGAGGCTAGTTGTGCCTTGGTTGAATGAAGGAACTGTTTTCTTGTTAATCTTTGCAATCTGATACTTTGATACTTTTTTATTCTAATGCTTGCATTGTCTATACTATTTGCCCCCGGTCGAGCACTGTTGGGGTTGCAGGGCCGAATAGATGCTCGATCTGGTCACTTGATATTTTTGGATTGAAATCGAAGGAGAATGTCTTACTCGAGTCCAGGTTAAGTTCAAGAAAAACAATTGTTTGTCCCCACCTGGAGCTAAGTAAGATTGGCATTGTAGATCTTTGCCCTTGAATAGAACTTACTGAAGTCTATTTTAGCTTGGAAAGCAAGAGTGTGATGAAAAATATAAGGAAGTGAAGTCTAGTTCAGGTCCAGGTTAGTTTTGAGAAATAATTGTTTGCCCTTACCTGGAGCTGAGTAAGACTAAGGCTTAGGAGCTTGATCCTGAAAGAATTACCCAAGGCAGTTCCAACTTGTGCTTGTATGGAGTAGTACTGAAGTATTTATGTGTTTATACTTAAGAAATTCTGTGAATTCTAGAGAAAAAAAAATGATTAGTGAAAGTTCGTTTGTGTGGTTTCCACCAAGCAATTCCATTTGGCTAAGATCCATTTTAGTTGCCAAACATAATTCCACCAAGCAATTCCACTTAGCATGTTTGAGTGCTAACCAAAACTAAATTTCGTTCGGTCATTTCGAAATGAAGTCCGTTTGGTTAAAATAAAAGCTGAATCCGTTTAATAATTATTAAAGCTAAATCCGTTTGGTTAACACCAAAGCTAAGTCTGTTTGATAATTGTCAAAGCTAAATGTGTTTGGTAAACACTAAAGCTAAGTTCATTTGGTAAACACCAAATCTAATCACTTTTACTTTAAATATGTCCACAGGGCTTGGATTAGAAAGACTAAGTTAAGCAATAATTTGTTCTGATCATAAAGTTGTACAGGTGTTGGAAACAAAAGTTCAAAGAAGGGATTAAGCATTCTTATTAACCAACCGATAAATGTTTGTACACTTGACGGATAATTTTGGGGGTGTAGTCTATTGATAGTACTTTTTGAGGTTGGCTATATGCTAGGGTTGAGGTATGGGTTTGCCCTTGAGATCTTCTAAGTAGTATGCTCCGTTCCCAACTACAACTATAACCTTGTAGGGACCCTTCCAGTTAGGTTCTAACTTCCTTTTGCCAGACACCTTTTTGTGGTCTATGACTTTCTTCAGAACTATCTCTCTAGGTGTGAATTGTCTTGGGAAAACTTTCTTATCAAAACTTTTGGTAAGCTGCTGCTGATAGGCGACAAGTCTGATTAGTACTGCTTCTCTTCGGCCTTTTTCCATGTCCAAGGCTTGTGCTATAGCTTCCTCATTATTTGCATCTTCAAACAATTCTAATCAGAGGGTTAGGAGACCGACTTCTAGTGGAATAACAACCTCCATTCTGTAGGTCAAGGAGTAGATGTTTCCCCCGTTGAGCGCCGTGCTGTGGTTTAGTAGGCCCATAACACATGGGGCAACTCTTTGACCCACTTGCCTTTTGCACTTTCAAGCCGCTTTTTTACCCCGTTAATGATGGTCTTGTTTGACGACTCTACCTACCCATTGCTCTGTGGGTAGCCTGGAGAGGAATTCCAATATTCAATCCTGAGATCGGCACAGAACTTCCCGAAAACCTTTCCGTCGAACTGCGTTCCATTGTCTGCAATCAATACCCGTGGGATGCTAAAATGGACCACGATATTCCTCATAACAACCGAGCTAAACGATGGCGAACTTTGTTTGCCTCTTTCTTGTATTCGGAGAGAGTGCTAAATCTTAGAAAAACAAGTATTGGATCCATCCAGCTTGGTTTCAAGTTAGTATAGAGGACCAAATCTGGAGTTGCAATGCTTGGTTCTGACACAAACTCAACCCAAACTTTTCTAGCATCTTTAGCATCCATTGATGAGCCAAGGCAATCCAGAGCATCAGGATGACTGTTTCTGTCCCGATTGATCCGTTCCATTCGTATGGATTGGAGTTTCTTAAGTAAATCTCTTGCCTTGTTTGCATACATAGCTATTCTTTCATCTCTTACTTCATAAATCCCAGTGAGTTGGTTGACAACCAGTTAAGAATCACTGAAAACTAGGAGTTGATTTGCACTGAAGTATTCGGCACTGTGTAATCTAGCTAGTAGTGCTTCATATTCTGCGTTGTTATTAGAGGCCTTCCAGCCAAGCCTCAGAGCTTGCTCCCAGATGAATCCTTCTAGAGATACGAGTATCACCCCTGCCCTCGAGCCTTGGTTATTGGATGATCCGTCAACATAGAGCTATTAGATGTCATCAATAAAGAGTTTCCATGTTTTTGAAGTACACTGTTTTCCTAGTTCGGTGGTTCGTGGTACCTGTACTGAACTGGAGTTCTAATGTTCGATGCCCTGAGCGGGAGTGAATTCGGTGACGAAATCCGCTAAGACCTAGGCCTTGATTACTATTTTGAGTTGATACTGAATGTCAAACTCACCAAGCTCAACCGCCCATTTTTACTATTTGGCCCGAGAAGTCAGCCTGGCCGAAGACAGGCCTGAGGGGGAATTTAGTGAGGACGTTGATTATGTGCCCTTGGAAATAATGTTGTAGCTTCCTCGAGGCAATAAGCAGGGCGTATGCTAGCTTTTCCAATGGTAGGTACCTCGTCTCAGCATCCAAGAGAGTCTTATTTACGTAGTATACCGGTCTGTGCTCCTTTTTAATTTCACGAATCAGTACTGCGCTTACCGCATGATCTGAAATTACCAAATACAGATATAGTTCTTTCCCTGGTTCTGAAGTG